AGTTGCAAGTTCAGCAAATTATAATTTTTTAAATTACAATAAAGTAACTACTAAACTCGTTATTTTTTGTTTAAAAATCAAAATTTGTCGAAATTTTAACTCAAGACTTATAATTTTAAGATTTAAGTAGACTTAAACCTCAGTACATTAAAAATTGTATTCTGTATAAAAAAAAAATATTTTTTAATTACCAGTAAAATGTTCCAAGTTTCTATAGCTAATAGTTTTTTAATTACAACAAAATATCTAAAATTATTGTTTGAAAAGAGTTATTATTATTTTTTTTTTTAATTTTAGCTAGTAGAACTTTTGGAGTTCCTAGTATTTAATTTTGAAACTTTATACGATAAAATAAAAATAAAAATATTACAAATTATAATTATCTACAGTAATGTATTTTTGAATCACAAAAATGAACATATAAACTGTTTTGAATTTATCAAAAACTTGTTTAACGTGAAGTCTCGTTTTAGGTTTTACTCAATTATTTTTAAAAATATTGAGAATTTTAAATTTTTTAGTAAAAAAAAACCAAAGCATCCTTTTCTTATATTTTTCAAAACTAAAATGTCGACATAAATGTATAAATATTTTTTTCCAAACAATTTCAAAAGACCGAAAAAAAATTAATATAACTTTTTTTTAATTTTTTTGATTTTTCATGAAGTTTTTGTTAATTACATTTCCTTTTTACAACTGTATAATATGCATCAAAACATATATCGAAGTTTAAAAAACGTAGGAACTATTCATACAAATATACCTAAGTTAGTAGTTTTTTATATTAAAAAGAAAAATATAATAATTAGCATTAATTATCTACCCAACAATTTAGTTGTTTTGAAGAGTATTTATCCAGTTCAATTAAAAATAAATTAAATATATAATGTATTAAACTATATTAATAATAATAATAATTGGGTACGTACATACATAAATCCCAAAACAAAATTCTTTCTGTATCATTCTTGGTTTCATTATAACTCAGCAGATATACATATTAAATACTATTTCACACTAGTTCTAGACTCTTATTGATTTATGCCACCGATATGTAATATAAATAAACTATTACATAGTTTTTAAATGCCTGTTAAAAATTCAGTAACACATTATATGAATGTATTATAATATAATACGGGTAGGTTGATGCTTAGATACAGCATGTTGAATGCAAATACGATACATATAAATAATAAATAACTACAATATACTCGTAATAATTTATAATGTATATAATTAAATTTTCATACGTAAGAATAATAACAACCATTTCAAATTAATTTGATTTTGAAAAAAAAAAATAAAATAAAAATAGATTTGATCTAGAAACTTAAAGTACATCAATACAAGAAATTTTAAAAATCTTGAAGAACATATCCTAAACTCTAAATATAATTAATTATTACTATGTAAACCTTAATGAAACATAAACAATACTATCTTTATTAAAATCCAAATAAAACATTATTTTAATTAAATTTAAAGTAATAATAAAAAAGTTATCAAAAACCAAAGCCGAAATTTAGTTAAAAATAAAATATTTATATATTGTTTTAATTAACATAATTATTAGTGCAATAATGTCATAGTAGATTAATTTTTTACATTTTAAATCACTACTAATTGAATAAGTGTCAATGAATTAATACAGCACGCGTATTGTTGGGAAAAATGTATTAATTGTATGAAGATTCAAGTCTATTACGAAATAGCTTGGCTAAATTGTAGCAGTCGATAAATTCACATAGAATGTCATCTGATAAATATTTATGTATATAGGTAATCTAATTTATTATTTTGTTGTATACAATCTGTACATGTACAGTAAATTTATTTCACAAATTTTAATCATCTTTTAGTATTAATGACTTTTTATAGCTTCCGTGAAATTAATTTTTATTTAGATATTATTTTTTGCAAGTCACGTAGCTTATTTATTCATATTTGTATGTAAATTATTTTCTTATGACTCAATATTTTTCATTAATCTATATCATTACCTAAAATGAACCAACAACGCAATAGTCTAGAAATAAAAATTTACTATGTTCCAACACTCAGTAAAACTACTCGTCATCTAATGTGATCACCTTAATTTAAAAACTATTTAAATTGTAATAATTACATCTAATATAAAATCTCATACAAATACCAGATTTTATAGGAGAGATGTATTAAATTTTCAAATTTTTACTATATTTATTTTATTATTTTTTTTTTTATTATTATTAACAGTTTATCTGTACTAATTTGATACGTACTTAATTAATAGTTATAATAGTACACTAAGAGAACATAATATGATATACTTCTTAAGTTTGATTATTAAAAACAATTTCGTGGGTGAAAAACTACTGGAGATATAATATTACTATAGAATATAGTTCTAATTGATAAATAAAATTGACATCATAAAGTTTGACTAATATATGCACCAATATCAGTTAAAAATATAATAGAAATAATGCTAAAAAAAAAA